TTAAAAAAAAAAAAAAAGAAATGTGCTATCAAGCAGTTATGCTGAAAGCTCAGTCAAAAGGCCACCCCATCTTCTCCGGCGCCCCTCTCAAACACAAGCAGGAAGGAGACATGCTTTACCCAACTTGATTTAGTTTTGACCTTCGTAGCCACAGACTGAGTCCCTATCTAGACTTTCTTCCTACTTCCTTCATCCAAGGTTATGATTTCGGTCATTCTTTCACCCAACAACTGAGCGTTGAGTATTGATCAGGCTTGTAGGAGTGCTTCTTGGGAACAGTCATCCAGGGCCCAGAGATCCCCTGATGGCTGCAGGGCAGGAGTGCTGGCATCACATCCTCTCTGTCCCTCTGGGGGTGTCCTCCTGGCTCAGAACAGTGGCTGCACCTCATCCTTCCCACCTGCCCGTTTACTTCCTTCCAAGCTTTCCCAGACCCAGACGCCGCCTCCATCAGCTCCGTAGCGCAGGAGCAGCTCTAGTGGCCCAGCGCTGGCGGTGTGGCATGCTGTCCTCAACAACCCGGCGAGGGGGGTCCCGATCCCCCAGCTGGCAGAGTGGCGGTGCTCGATTGCTCCAGTGTCCAACCTCGCATCCCTGTGCCCTCACCCGTCCCCCAGGCCACGCTCCATCTCCAGGGCATTCTCACGCCTTTTGCCAGGGCTGCTCCCCGGTTAACCATCCTGCCCGCAGAGCTTGCCTTCCCGCGCGGTATCCCGCCGCGAGTTCCCTAATTTCTCTTCTTGCTCCACACTGCCCCCCCCATCATTTTCCTCAAATTGAGGACAACTTGAGAATTTTCCAATTGAGACACTGATGTAAAACTGAATACTCCCTTATTACTTCAGTGTTTCCTTTAACTCAGAATAGGAAAAAAAAAAAAAAAAAAGGAATCTGCCCTTCCTGGTTCCGTTTTGTTTTCCGCAGTGGGAACTGATGTGGAGAAAGCGGCTCTCAACGCCCCTGAGCCCGTGCAGCTGCGTGGGGACAAGGTCTGGGGGAAGCAACTTAGGAGCAGGACGCGATGTCAGATCCCTGGTGGGGAACCTCCTGCAGCAAAGCTGGCACCCATCCCAAGGAGGAAGAGGACGAAGCAGAGACACAGTGACAGGAGAGGCAGCCTGGGAGTTGGGGACAGTGGAGATGGGAACAGTTCTGTCACACATTCAATCACACTTTGGGGAGATGCCCAGGAATACGGTTGGTGGAGCAGCGACTTCCAGGGTCGCCAGACGGAGCGAAGCGCGAGACCTCATCTGTCTGCAGCAGGGCCACCACACGGATTCTCCGATTTTATGGTTTCTGTGAGGAACAGGTCCCAAAATCCACAGCTGTAACCCCGAGGCCGAGAGACTGTGGAGGCGGGACTGGTTGTAGCTGCGCCTGACCAGACTTGCGGTCCGCGTCGGGGCAGGAGGTGACACTGGCTGCCAGGGGCGCTGGCCTGCGGGCCGGGGTTGGAAACCCCACCTGGTCAGGAGCGGTAGTAGCACAGGACTGAGCGGCAGCACAGGAAGCCCAGGAGCAGTCCTCTCCACTCCCTTCTCACCCAGAATCACCCACATCCCCTACCTTGGGCCTTACAACGCGGGCGCTGGGAATGCAGGCCCCAGGCCTGTACGTGCACCACCAGCCCGCTGTCACTGCTGGGCCCAGGCACCCCCCTCTAGGCATGGGCGTAGGGTGATCGGGGCAGGGATCCGGTGTTGCGAACAGCACCAGGCAGCCTCAGAGGAGTCCAGCCCCAGGGGGAGGACACAGGTGTGGAGGGAGCGGGCTAGGGTGATCGGGGCAGGGATCCGGTGTTGCGAACAGCACCAGGCAGCCTCAGAGGGGTCCAGCCCCAGGGGGAGGACACAGGTGTGGAGGGAGCACGAGGACTCTGCCCCAGGTGAGGGTCCCACTTACGCTCCCCGTGGACTCCAGGAACTTGGGGACACGGGGAGAACCTCGCATAGCCTCAGACTTCTCTTTTCTTACTTTTTTGTCTGGTATCTTAGCCTGAGGACAGCTGACAGGCCAAGAACTGTCAGATGTGTAGCCTGAGAGCAGCATTCTGCGGGGAGTAGGTCATGGTGGCTTCAAAGCTAATGCACATGAAGCCAGCAGTGTGGAACCCATCGGGTAGGCAGGGGAAGGCCTGCTGCTCGTCCTGGCCTCTCCGTGTTCACTCCTCCCCAACCTGGGCACCCTATCTCTGCCCAGGTCACCTGTGTGGGCCGTCGGTGGACTTTCATGACTGCTGGCTTCCAGTAGGCTTTGCAGTGGGAGCCTCGGCCAGAGACTGGAGGGTGGGAAGGGAGTGAGGCTGGGACCTGGTATCACCTGGACATAAGCCATGTCAACTTCCAGTCCCGTTTGGACCAGTGTCTCAAGCTTTGGCAATACTGCGCCCAAGCTCACAGGCAATGCTGCCAGCCAGGGTTTATGCCAGGGCTCCAGTGGCAGTATTGTTTGTGGAGAGGGCGGCCAGTGGGCAGCACCTACTCACGGGAGGACAACTGATCACCAGTAGTAGCTCCATGCCACAGGAACAAAGGAGCGCTGTTCATGCCTGCACGGAAGGAAGGATGCCCTCGTGTACTCATGGAAAAGCCAGTCGGGCTCCACCTGAGAAGCCGAACCAGAAGAAGGCAAGTAGCCAGCAATTGTGGGGCTGCTAAGCAAGCTCCAGGTCCTCAGGGCAGTCACTCAGGAGGACAAGATCACCAGCTGATGCTTTTCCACAGGCCAGAGCAGAAATCAAGACCTGGATGTTCAACCGAGCTACTCAGGTGCCTTTAAAAAAAATGTTTTATAAAATATTGGGGTGGAGAACACCTCTGAGGACAGATAGTTTAGGCCATAGGGGACACGTAATTTTTTTTTTTTTTTTAAGATTTTACTCATTTATTCATAGAGACACAGAAAGAGAGAAAGAGAGAGGCAGAGACACAGGCAGAGGGAGAAGCAGGCTCCGTGCAGGGAGCCCGACGTGGGACTCGATCCCGGGACTCCAGGATCACGCCCTGTGCTGGAGGTGGCGCTAAACTGCTGAGCCACCTGGGCTGCCCTTTATATTAAAAATCTCATAACTGGGGGATCCCTGGGTGGCACAGCGGTTTGGCGCTTGCCTTTGGCCCAGGGCGCGATCCTGGAGACCCGGGATCGAATCCCACGTCAGACTCCCGGTGCATGGAGCCTGCTTCTCCCTCTGCCTGTGTCTCTGCCTCTCTCTCTCTATCTCTCTGTGACTATCATAAATAAATAAAAATTAAAAAAAAAATCTCATAACTGGGACACCTGGGTGGCTCAGTGGTCGAGCGTCTACCTGCAGCCCAGGGCGTGACCCCCGAGTCCCAGGTTTGAGTCTCACGTCAGGCTTCCCGCAGGGAGCCCGCTTCTCCCTCTGCCCGTGTCTCTGTCTCTCATGAATAAAATAAGATCTTAAAAAAAAAAAAAAAAAGAGGCTAAAAAAACACATCACCACAGTAATCTCTGAAATGTGACAAGGTAATTTTTTACATTTTAAAAATATTTTACATTTCTTTTTTTAAAGATTTTTATTTATTTATGATAGAGAGAAAGAGAGAGAAAGGCAGAGACGCAGGCAGAGGGAGAGGGAGAAGCAGGCTCCATGCATGGAGTCCAACGTGGGACTCAATCCCGGGACTCCAGGATCACGCCCTGGGCCCAAGGCAAGGCGCTAAACCGCTGAGCCACCCAGGGATCCCTATTTTACATTTCTTTTTTTTTAATTTTTTATTTATGATAGTCACAGAGAGAGAGAGAGAGAGGCAGAGACACAGGCAGAGGGAGAAGCAGGCTCCATGCACCGGGAGCCTGACATGGGATTCGATCCCGGGTCTCCAGGATCGCGCCCTGGGTCAAAGGCAGGCGCCAAACCACTGCGCCACCCAGGGATTCCCCCCTATTTTACATTTCTAAAAAGATTTTATTTAAGGGCACCTGGGTGGCTCAGTCAGTTAGGCATCTGCCTTGGGCTCAGGTCGTGATCCCAGGATCCTGGATCGATTCCTGCATCAGGCTACCTGGTCCACGAGGAGTCTGCTTCTTCCTTTCCTGTTCTCCCTGCTTGTGATCTTTCTGAAATAAGATTTATTTTAAAGATTTATTTAGTCATGAGAGACACAGACAGAGGGAGAAGCAGACTCCCTGTAAGGAGCCCAATGTGGGATTCAATCCTGGGACTCCAGGATCACACCCTGGGCCTAAGGCAGGCACTAAACTGCTGAGCCACCCAGGGATCCCCAATAACATTTTTTTTTAAAAGATTTTTTTAGAGAGCGAGGGAGCATGCACAAATGGAGGGGGGGTAGCAGAGGGAGATGGACAAGCAGATTCCACGCTGAGCAGGGAGGCTGACATGGGGCTCGACCCTATGACCTCAAGATAGGACATGAGCTGAAATCAAGAGTTGGTTACTTAACCAATCGAGCCACTCAAGCATCCCTACATTTCTTTTTTTTTATAAGTTTTTGCATTTCCCAAATGTCCTACAAAAAATTTATACTTAGGGGAAAAAAAGTAGATTAAAAAATACACATTCACTGGTCAGCTCTTCAGCTGGCTTGGGGCTGGAGGCTTCCTTTCTGGCGCACCTTCTGTAGGATGCAGCAGAAGCTGTCAGCACTCTCAGTGTTCCCAACCAGGGGTCACTAAGAGATGCCTTCCCTTGTCAGCAGGCCCCCCGGGAGGCTCCTCCCCAGCGCCGCTTTCTGCTGACAGGCCTGGTGAGGGTGGAACATGCTCAGGCCAGCTGGGGTTCCTGAGGCACTGCTGGGAGCCTGCAGACCCTGCTCCCCAAGTCCTGGCTCCTGCCACTGCCCCTCCGGCCTGGCTGGTTGACAAACCCTTGGTCCACCTGAGAAGCCCAAGCATCCCCAAGCCGGGTACCCTGTGGATTCTAGTCCTGTGCGCGCACCCCCCCCCCCCCCCCCCGCCGCAAGCTGGGCTTCATCTTGCTCAGTCCTAATAAAAGTAAACAAAAAAGAGCCAACATAGCCTTTTTGTTCGTTTTGTTCTGATCACAAGTCAGTGTTCGGAAAACAGATGAGTGGAAAAAGAAAACAGAACCTACCCACAATCCTCATGTGACTCATTGGAGCATGTGTGTGCATCCAGGCTCCCCAGTTGCGGGAGGACTCCTCTGGCTCACCGTCCTCACCCTGTGTGCTGCCTGACCACAGCCCTGGCCCCGGGCCCTCTGCCTTGGGGCCTCTCCCCGATGGGTTTTCTGCCTTTTTTGTTGTTTGGGGAAGGGGGGGTGCAGAGGGAAAATGGGGGAGAGAATCTCAAGCAGACTCCATGCCCAGCAGACTCCACGTGAGATCGGGGCTCAATCTCACACCCCAAAATCATGACCTGAGCCAAAATCAAGAGTCAGACACCCAAGTCTCTGACTTTTACCAACTCGTCTGTGTTCCCCACCCTCCCGGGAGCACTCTGGGCTGTGGACCTTCTGGTGCTGGATGAGGGCAGACAGCCGGCTGCAGGCCCTCCCACAGGCCCGGCACCTGTACGGCCTCTCACCGCTGTGCAGCCGGTAGTGCTCGTTCAGCGTGTAGCTCCTGCGGAAAGCCTTGCCACACTCTGTGCAGGCAAATGGCTTCTCCTTGGTGTGGGTCTTCTGGTGCAGAGTGAGGTTGGACTTCCGGCTGAAGGCTTTGCCACATTCCCTGCACTCGAAGGGCTTCTCACCCGTATGCAGCCTCTGGTGCAGGAGGAGCAAGGAGTTGTGCTTGAAGAGCCTCTGGCATACGGAGCACTGGTACAGCTTGTCCCCTGTAGCAGACTTCTGCGCTGCGCCGAGCAGGGCATTCGGACAGCCGCTGTCGTCTCGGGGGCTCTCCCTGGCATGCAGACTGTGGTGTTTGAGGAGCGAGGACCCACGGATGAAGCGCTGCCCACACTGCAGGCAGGTGTAAGGCCTCTCCCCGCTGTGGATGCGGCAGTGCTCATTGAGCGTGAACCTGCGGCAGAAGGCCTTCCCGCACTCCCCGCACTCATAGGGCTTCTCCCCCGTGTGGAACTTCTGGTGCTGCCGGAGCCGGGAGCTGCGGCTGAAGGCCTTCCCGCACTCCCCACACTCGTAGGGCTTCTCCCGAGTGTGGACTCGGTGGTGCGCGGTCAACTGTGTGCTCTGCCGGAAGGCTTTGCCACACTCGCTGCACTGGTAGGGCTTCTCCTCGGTGTGGATCAGCTGGTGTCTCAGGAGGATGGAGCTCTGCTTGAAGGCCTTGCCGCACTCAGTGCACTGGTAGGGCTTGGCGCCCGTGTGGATGACCTGGTGCCTGAGCAGCAGCGAGTTGTACTTAAACGCCTTGCCACAAGCACACCTGTACAGTCTCTGCCCAACAGTGTCTGCACAGCCCGAGGCTCGCTGTTTGTCCTCCAGGGCCTCCGGGGACGTGCCAAGTTCCCCACCAGGGCCGCCTGCCTGGGGGGGGAGGGGTACTTTATCTAACCCATCCTCAGGACTCCCATTCAGTTCAGTTAACTTGGGCTTCCCCGCAGGGAGGCGGCCCCAAATTGTGCCCAATAGTCCTAACTGCTTAGAGGACACTCTCCTCAGAGGAGATTCCTTGATCCCAGTCTCCATCTTAGAATCTGGAAAAACGAACAGAGAATGAAAAGATGACCTACTCTCTACTCTATACTCATAAAAGAAACTCCGTGATTTGAAAACATAATCTTTAGATCAAAGAAGTAGGGAAGTTTGGGAACTTCTTCCAAGAATCTGTAAAAGCAGGGTCCGCATAAGAAAGAGGGCCCAGGGATCCCTGGGTGGCCCAGCAGTTTGGTGCCTGCCTTAGGCCCAGGGCGCGATCCTGGAGACCCGGGATGAAATCCCACATCAGGCTCTTGGTGCCTGGAACCTGCTTCTCCCTCTGCCTGTGTCTCTGCCCCTCTCTCTGTGTGTGTGTGTGTGTGTGTGACTGTCATAAATAAATTTAAAACAAAATTAAAAAAAAAAAAAAAAAGAAAAAAGAGGGTCCAGAGGAGGGTCTGAGAGAAGTGGGTTGAGGAGGGGAGCTCGTGAAAGGGGAGCGCCATCAGGAGAGAAGGAGGGCACGGGCCTGGCCCACGGGACTGTGTGGGGAGCAGGCTTGACAGAAGAGTGGGGGCTGGGGGTGCTGCTAGCCCTCGCACCCCTCTCCCTCTGGGCACTCGGCCATGGTTCACTCACTCGGAGGACATGCCAAGCATTCCCTGTGGACGGCACGCCACCTCCGCAGTCCAAGCTGAGGCCCTGGTGCGGGAGCCGTGGGGGAACTGGGAGAACCACAGCAGCTCAGGGGTCTTCCCTAAGGGGTCCTCCCCACCCACCCACAGCCCCCACAGATCTGGCCCGACACCTCAGAGAACCAGGAGGACATTCACGCACTTGGGTCTCTTGCACAAGTTAGTCCTGGTTTGGCCTTGGGTCACAAGCAAGGTGTTTCACAGGAAATCTGGCCCTGCTGTGAGGAGCTCAAAGTACAGCCTTCCTGGTGCCCAAGCAAGGGGGGGTGGGTGGGGCACGAGAAGTTGTACAAAGGCCAGGCCTCTCTGTGCCTTGCGCTTACCTGGGCAGCGGCTGGCTGCGGACCCTCGCTCCTCAGTCACCTGCAGAATCAAAGCCCCCGGCTCCTCCCCTTGCTCCAAGAGGGAGATCAGTGCTGGTTTGGCAACAAGAAAACCTACGTGCAAGAAGGAGAGTGGCGCGTGTCAGGGAGAAGGAAGGAAAGATGCCCGGTTGTGGGGCCTGAAACACCTACTTCCCTAGGAGAGGGGCAGCTGCGTGGCCACGGAGAGATGGGGGCCCTCCAGCTTCCCTTACAAACACGCTGGACTCTGAATTTGGAAAAGAACCAACTCCCCCAAGAGGCCAGTGGAAAAGGCAGGTTTGCCACTGAGCTCAACCCCGGGACAGCTGGGGAAGCCTCACCCAGCGAGGCCATGTGCCCGTAGTTCTCCAGCATCACGTCCCTGTACAGTGCCCGCTGGTCGGGGGCCAGGCAACTCCACTCTATCCTTGTGAAGTACACGGCCACATCCTCAAACACCACCGCCTCCTGCAACCACAAACCCTGCTGTCTGGGGCTGTCTGGACAGGAGATGCAGAGATGTCAGGAATATTCAGGGTAACTGTTCGCTTCTGGGGGTCAAGGCCTCTGCCCGTGTGGTCACTGCTGCATCCCCAAGGTCTGGCACAGAGGGAATACCTCGACATTCCCCAAGGAAACTTGGGCAGTCCCACTGCCATAAAGCTGTGGGAGAGGGAGGGGTTTCAACCGTGGCCTCATGCCTCTCCACAGCCTACAGGTATCTGGGGAGGAGGCACCCTTGAGATGCTGCTGGTCGAGTAACAACTACACTGGTAGGGAGTGTTCCTGTCCTTTGGTTCTCTGATCTTAGGAGAGAACCCAAAGGCTGTGTGGACGAAGAAGGACTGGTCATTCGCGCCAGGACAGAAGTAGATGCTGGGGAGGGACAGGGACCCTGGCCTCGCTGGCTGCCCCTGGAGGCTCTAGGGCTGCAGGAGATCCCGGGCAGCCTGCTTCTGCCCAAAGCCTCAGGAAGGAGCACACAGAGCACTGTGAAGTTTCAAAGAGGGAGGCGGTGGCCCCTTGGCTCAGAGACTCCATCCTGTGACCCACCTGCAGGAGTGGGAGCTACATGAGTGGGCCTGGGGCCTGCTGGGAAAGTGCTCAGGGCTGAAAAGCTGAGGGCTGGGGATGAAGGCAGGCCAAGAAGCTCAAACAGGGGCACTCACCTGGAGTATGGGCGTCGCAAGTGGCACCGCCATTCCAGGGTCCCGTCGGGAAGAGCAGGTGCTGGGGACAGTGAGTGTTGAGTGGAAGGAGTCCAGGCCTAAGTCCCATCCACCCCTGTCCCTGTCCCCCAGGACCACCCAGATACAGAAAAGACAAGAAAAAGTGAGGCACGGGGCAAGCCCAACCGGTCAGCCCAGAGGATCCCCTCATGGCCCAGGAAGCCACACCCTGAGACCTGCTCACCCACATGCCTCCGCCCCTCACTGCTAATTTTCCCAGGGATGACTTCCTGGACCATCCTATATAAAATGCCACCCCCACCCCAGAATTCCTTCTGTACCCTGGTTCCCTGTTGTATTTCTCTCCACGGCACCTGTGCTGACATAACAATCGACTTACTTGCTTCTTATCCGCCTTCCTCCATGAGCAAAGACCTGTAGTCTGGTCACTCAGGCTGTACCCCCAGAGCCTGGGGGAGGGCCCGACGCACAGCAGGTGCTCAGCAGGGGTCTGTGGAACAAACACATGAGCGGTTCCATGACGGCGTGTGAGTGTGCCACCAGGAAGACCGTGCTGTGGATCATCAGAGAGCCTTCTTGCTGCATCCCCTCGTGAAACAAGCAGCCTGTAAACAGAAAGACAAGTCTGGCCGCACGTACCCCAGCACGGCAGCCTTAGTTTCCTTGTGGCTGACTCTTCTTTTCCTTCTTTCCGTTTTTCTGATTTCTCTAAGGCTTACTGCTTATTCACAAACGTGTGTTGCAATTGGAGAAAAGTTGTTAAAAGAACAAAAATCACAATTCTGTCCACAGAGTAGGCCCTGGTCTCCAGGTCTCTTCCTCAGTGGAAGCCTGCACTCTTGCTGTCGGGCGGGCGGAGGTCTCTGGGGCATCCTCTCCTGTGGGGATCGAGCCTCGGAAGCAGCTGCCACTTTGTAAAGCAACGTCGTCTTAGGCATCAGCTGACAGAAGTCCTGTAGTTATGATGTGCCTCCGGCTGGCAGGAGAGCCTTGTAACCTGCGGGAGCCTAACGGGCTGCACCCGATGATCTGAGAGGCCCCGGGGGGGGGGTGCAAATGCAAAGAGCAGACCCCCGGCGGGCGGGCGGCCGGCGGACAGCCTGTGGGCAGTACCCGCCAGACGTAGCTGGCAAGGCCCGGCCTCGGCTCCTCAGGGCGCTCTCCGCAGGCGGGGCTCGTTACTCCGCGGGTCGCTCTCCGCTATGCCCCGGGCGCTGCCTACAGAGGGAAGACCGTGGTCCCACCGCTGGACCCCGGGCGTGAGTCTAACCAGAGAAAACCAGCGCGGGGTTGGAACAAGTGGAGGAGGGGTCCCGGCTGAGAGAACGGACCGCCGGGCCAGCGCCCCGCCCGTCGCCCCAACCCCGCTCGCGACGCGCAGGGCCGCGGCCCCCGAAGCCGGCCGCGGCCCCCTCCGCACCTGCCTTCGCCCGCACGGCGAGCGGGGGCTCCGGGCCCGGGGCTCAGGCGCGCGCCCCCACGAGCCTCTCGCTCGCTCTCTTCAAGGCCCCGCAGTGGCCGCCGCCTGTGGCCTCGCTCGTCCGTTCCGCCGTCACACGCGCGTCTCTACCCGGCGAAGCGGCCGAGCGAGGCCCCGGGACACGGCAGGCCGGGCGCCACCGGCGACGCAACCGGAGGACGAGCGTGCGGGGTCCGAGCACGGTGGCCGCCGCCTTCTCACTCCGCCCCAGCCAGCGGCGCGGGGGCGCCCGCCCTGGGCTTCCGGCCAGGCCCCGGAAGCGGGCCGCTCTAGGAGCTCGGAGGACCACGCCTCAGGGGCGCCCGCCGGCTCCCGGGGCTGATCGCGCGCGGCCCGCGGGCGCCCGGAAGTAGGAGGGCGGGGCCCGGCGGAGCCGCGGGCGGAGCCACGGAGAGGGGGCGTCGCTGCAGGCGGCCCGCTTCCGAGGCAGCGCCCTCTCTCTTGTAGCTTTTTTATTTAAGTCCCTGAAATCACAGCCAGTTGCGCCGGCCGCGGAGAGACGCCCCGGGGAGCCTTCACCCCCTTCACCCACACTTGAAGTAGCTCGTCCACCGGCGTGACTTTCAAACTTCTGAGACTCCCAGTAAAAAAGGCTTTGCGGTGTGACCCATCCTTCGCTCAGATCTGTTGATGCAGAAATGCTCACACGTCGTAATTTTGAAAAATTTTGACAAAACGTTTTACTCATGATATTCAATGAAATCTCAAATGTTTTTCTTTAAATGTTTTCTCATGGGCAGTCCCAGTGGCGCAGCGGTTTAGCGCCGCCTGCAGCCCAGGGCGTGATCCTGGGGACTCTGGATCGAGTCCCATGTCAGGCTCCTTGCGTACGTGGAGCCTGCTTCTCCCTCTGCTTGTGTCTCTGCCCCTCTCTCTGTGTCTCTATGAATGAATGAATAAATAAAATCTTTAAAATAAAAAAATAAATGTTTCCTCATTTAAGAAAAATGCAAAAGCAGGACCACCCCTTGCTGCGGAGGGAGGGGACGGTAACGCAATAGCCGAAATCTATGAGGCAGCAGAAGAGGTCTCGCATGAACAGAACCGTGTGGTCTGAAAATCGGGCATCACATTTAGACACAGGCAACAATGCTTGGAAACTAAATAGCAACCTACTGAGTAGCTCACGGGAGAAAGAATCATAAAAGGCGCTGTAACAGGTGCAATTGAGAGAATGAAGACCCTGCAGGACACTCACAGGAAAACTGACATACAGAGAGATCAAGGTTAATACAAGGGTACAGGTGGACCTTGGGGGTACCGCCACTGCAATAAAGCCAATATGGCAATAAGACAAATTAACTGAATTTTTAGGTGGCCCGGCACATACAAAAGTTAAGTTTGAAGGGGTGCCTAACTCCTCGGAGGCTCAGAGGCTAAACCTCTGCCTCGGCCCAGGGCGTGACCCCCGGTCCTTATCAACCCCCCCCTTCCTGGGGCTCCCGGTAGGGAGCCTGCTTCTCCCTCTGCCTGGGTCTCTGCCTCTCTCTCTGGGTCTCTCATGAATAAATAAATAAAATCTTTAGAAAATAAAATAAATAATAAGAAAAAAGAGAGGCGCCTGGGTGGTTCAGTCAGGTAAGCAGCCGACTTGATTTCCACTCAGGTTGTGATCTCAGGGTCCCAAGATCCAGGGCATGGAGCCTGCTTAAGGCTCTCAAAAACAAAAGGGGATCCATTGGGGAGCTTGGGAGGCACAGTGAGCTCTGCATCCAACTCTTGGTTTCAGCTCAGGCGGTGAGCCCAGGGTTGTGGACTCAAGCCCCCTCGGCACCCAGTTGGCTTCAGACTCTCTCTTTTACCGCCCCGCCCCCACCCATGTACTACTCTTTCTTTCTTTTTTTTTTTAAATTCCATGTTTTTTTTAATTTTTATTTATTTATGATAGTCACACACACAGAGAGAGAGACAGAGACACAGGCAGAGGGAGAAGCAGGCTCCATGCACCGGGAGCCCGACGTGGGATTCGATCCCGGGTCTCCAGGATCGCGCCCTGGCCCAAAGGCAGGCGCTAAACTGCTGCGCCACCCAGGGATCCCTACTCTTTCTTTAAAAAAAAAAAAAAAAAAAAAAAGGGCAGCTCCAGTGGCGCAGCCCAGGGCCTGATCCTGGAGACCCAGGATTGAGTCCCATGTCGGGCTCCCTGCATGGAGCCTGCTTCTCCCTCTGCCTGTGTCTCTGCCTCTCTCTCTGTGTCTCTCATTAATAAATAAATAAAATCTTTAAAAAAAGAACTTTTTCAAAAAATTTATGTTTATGCGGCAGTCTAAGTATACAATAGCATTATGTCTAAAAAAGCAACATACATACTTTAATTTTAAAATATTTTATTGCTAAAAGATGCTAACCATCATCTGAGGTTTCAGCAAGTTCTATTACTGATCACAGATCACCATGACAAATAATAATTAAAAAGTTTTAAGTATTTTAAGAATGACCAAAATGTAGAGGCACCAGGTGGCTTTGTGGCTTGGGTGTCTGCATTCAGCTTGGGTCATGATCTCAGGGTCCCAGAATCCAGCCCCATGTCAAGCTCTCTACTCAGTCAGGAGTTTACTTCTCCTTCTGCCTCTGCTGCTGCCCCTGCTGCTGAGTGCTCTCTCTCTCAAATAAATAAATTAAAAAAGTTTTTTGACACTTTATTTATTTGAGCGTAAGAGAGAGCAAAGCAGGGGGACGGGCAGAGGGAGGAGAAGCAGACTCCCCTGCTGAGCAGGGACCCCACTTGGGACTCGATCCCAGGACCTCAGGTCATGTTCTGAGCCGAAGGCAGATGCTTAACAGGCTGTGCCATCCAAGCTCCCCAAATTTTTAAAAATCTTAAGAAAAATGAATTCTCAAAATGTGACAGATGCAAGTGAGCAAATGATATTGGAAATAGGTCAGCAATAGACTTGCTCACTAGGGTCGCTACGAGCTTTTAATATATAAAACATGCTGGGCAGCCCTGGTGGCTCAGCAGTTTAGGGCCGCCTTTGGCCCAGGGTGTGATCCTGGAGACCCGGGATCAAGTCCCATGTCAGGCTCCCTGCATGGAGCCTGCTTCTCCCTCTGCCTGTGTTGTGTCTCTGCCTCTCTCTCTGTGTGTGTGTCTCTCATGAACAAATAAATAAAATCTTTAAGTATATATATATATATATATATATATATATATATATATACACTCTCATGAATAAATAAAATCTTAAGAAATATATATATATATATATATATGCACTCTCTCATGAATAAATAAAATCTTTAAAAAACCATCATTTTTTAAAAGGATTATTTATTTATTCATGAGAGACACAAAGAGAGAAGGGCAGAGGGAGAAGCAGGCTCCATGCAGGGAGCCTGACGTGGGACTCAATCCCAGGACTCCAGGATCACATCCTGGGCTGAATGCAGTGCTAAACTGCTGGGCCACTGGGGCTGCCCACACCATCATTTTAAAACGTCGAATACCTAGAAAGGAATTACAAATCCCTTCAGGATCCTCCGTGATGAACTTTCACACCCTAAATAGCATAGCACCCACATCAACAAGATGATTTTGCCTGGGGCCCTCAAAGCCTTGCGGGGCCCTCCGACCACCTTTCCTGTTGGTGTCCAACGGTAGCCGCTCTGACTGCCTCAGCCCTTGTGACTTCCGCAGGCGCACTTTGTGTCCTCGGTGTATTTACTGACTGAACTCACAATAACCTGATGAAAGATGGAGGTATTGATCCCATATAAAAGATGAGAAAAGAAAAAAAAAGATGAGAAAAGAATCGTGTTCTGTTAAGGGCAACTGATGGTGGGGGGGTGGGAAGTCAAGTGGAACAAGACAAAAGAGGGTCACGGGTACACATGTTTATACTATATTATTCCTGGGATCCCCGGGTGGCTCAGCGGTTTAGCGCCTGCCTTCGGCCCAGGTCATGATCCTGGAGTCCTGGGATTGAGTCCCACATCGGGCTCCCTGCAGGGAGCCTGCTTCTCCCTCTGCCAGTGTCTCTGCCTCTCTCTGTGTGTCTCTCATGAATAAATAAATAAAATCTTAAAAACAAAAAAAAAAAAATATTATTGTGTGTACGTAACAAGAGACATAGAAAAAAAAAAGGCTAGAAAAAAAAAGCTCTATGCCTAACGTGGGCTTGAACTCATGACCCTGAGATTGAGTTGCATGTTCTACTGAGCTAGCCAACCCCTCCCTTAAAGAAACATTTAAAAAACAGCTTTAAAAAAAAAAAGATTTTATTTTTGAAGGTGGCGTTAAACCTCTGAGCCACCCTAAAAAACAGCTTTAAAGGAAATATTTTTCTTTCCTTTTTTTTTTTTTTTTGAGAAAGCATGGGGGGGGGGACATTGCAGAGGGAGTGAATCTTTTTTTTTTTAATTTTATTTATTTGATAGAGCACAAGTAGGCAGAGAGGCAGGGAGAGGCAGAGGGAGCAGCAGACACCCTGCTGGGCAGAGCCCAATGTGGGACCTGATCATGGGACTCTGGGATCATTGCCTGAGCTGAAGGCAGACGCTTAGCCCACTGAGCCACTCAGCACCTTTTTTTTTTTTTTTTTTTTTTTTTAAGATTTGTTTAGAGAAAGAGAGCATGAGTGGGAGGGGCAGGAGAAGAGAGAATCTCAAGCTGACTCGGTGCTGAATGCAGAGCCTGACATGGGACTCAATCTCATGACCCCAAGATGCAACCTAAGCTGAAATCAAGAGTCAAATGCTTAACTGACTGAGCCATCCAGGTGCCCTGGAAATAATTTCTAAGAATAAAGTTTGAATTGCTGGGCAGACGTAATCTTGGATGCTAAGAGAAGGGTGCCCCACTCATCAGCAGAAGCAAAAGGTACCTTGTGGGGAGGGCCTCATCTGGTGGCAGAGGCAGATGGGTCCCTCTTGAAGGCCTTAGAACCCTATGTCCTGTGTGGCTGTCCCTAGAGGCCCCCATCTCCAGGGTATCCAGATTTATGGCATCCTTGCTGTGTGCCAGACTTGATGGCCCCTCACATGGAAGTTGACCTTCAGGCTAGTGAGATGGAGCCAAATCAGGGGTCTCTGGGCTTTGAAGGTTGGGGGGACACCAGCCAGGACCCCCATCTCTGCAAGGAGAGATACACGGAGCATGAGGTGGGAGCACAATCCACATCAGGCAGGTGTCTGCACCTCCAAGAGCCCCAGCATTGGCGGCCCTCCCTTAAGTTCATGCCCGCCATCTCCAGGTAGGCCTTCAGGAA